TTATTATTATTATTATTATTATTATTATTATTATTAAAAGAGTTTTAAAACTTAAGATTGCAAATTAAAAATTTTAAATTTAAATCTTAATACTGATGAAAAGGGATTAAGGTAATAAGATATCTATCATTTTTTATATAATCTATTATTTGATGTATAGAAAAAACATATAACAAGAAATGACTTTTTCTATCCAAAATTTAAAATTGAGACATCCAACATTAAAATTCAAGCTCTTAACTACTAAAATATCCCAAGGGTTGGGGTACCCCTTGTACCCCCAATAATTTAAATCTTTTGCCTTTCAAAAAAAAAAAACTACTAAAACATCCCCTCAAAAATAATCATTTTTTTATGGGATAAGTTAACTAGTAATATATACATGGCCACGAGCTAGTTATTCCTTAATCAAACTACAATAATAAATCACCCCATCCAACAAACATGACACAACAAAAAATAAATGCTAATATTGTTTGCTGATAAAAAAAAAAAAAAAAACCATTACACAATATAAAATAATTCAAACTATAAAACCTTAATCAGTAGATGGAGGTAAACTTTTTAATATTTGAGGTTCTCTTCCCTTTCTAATATTTGGGATTCTCTTCCCCCATCGAATGATTTTTATTTTATAATTTGAACTATAAAATATAAAACTCAAAATAAAAAGAGTATTTTATTTTATGGTTCAGTTTAATTAGATGGTATAAACCATAAAACAAAAATTATTTGATGGATGATAGTTCCTAATACTACAAGACTTGTCATTCATCTAATCATTTAAATTATACAATATAAATTGCACAACACTTTTTTAAAATTAATTACCCCGTATCTTTGTAGACCAAGAAGCAAGAGAGTGCTGAAGCCTGTGCAGAGGACTCCAATCCATATTTTGAGTTTGAACAGAATGTTCAAAGCAAAGGCTGTTCCAATTACTGTCACAAAATCAATAAAAATAAATCAAAATCGTTTATTTATTATTATATTAATCAATAATCAGCATTGATAATATGAAAAGAACCTTCGGGTATATCAGTAGCTATGGCGGCAACCTCTGCTAGCAGCCACAGGCAATACCTCACATATTTTGGATACTCAATTCTACATACCTCAGCGAGATGTTTGCCTAACAATTAATGGAAATGAAACTTAATTTTAAAGAAGTATATATCA